GTTAGTGCGATAAACCGAGGACACAAACACCTCTTGGACTCATCAAGCCCTTGTCGACCCCAGCTGGCATGGCCGGGACAGAGCTTGTCCATGGACTTCATGGACACCATCGTGGCCAGCAAGAGTGGCAAGGGTCAAATATTTGTCATAGGGGACAAGTTTTCAAAGTACATAGGCTGGTCGCCATGCGCGAAACAGCAAAGACTGAGCGTGTGATTAAATTGTTCATGGAAAGCTAGGCGGATGACTTTGGATTGCCAAGGTCCATAGTGAGTGACAGAGATGTCCGTTTCACAAGTGCCTGTGGAAGAAGGCGAGCAGGTGGGTTCCCAACTGCAGATGACTTCAGGTAATCATCCTGAAGCCACTGACCAGGCGGAGCGGATAAACTGTGTGGTGCAGCATTTGCTCAGGCACAATATCAAGCTGCGCCAGGACAGCTGGAATGAGAAGTTGACTCTCATCGCCAGTCTGTACAATAACGCTGTATACATCACAACCGGTATGTCTCCCAACCAGCTACATCTTGGTTGGAAGCCTACATCTGCTCTCGTGTCCCTCCTACCCGAGAACCAGCCAACAGCAGCACCTCGCAGCATTGAATTTGCCGTCCAGTATGACAAACTGTTGTAGCAGGCTGTAAAACAAAATTCAGAAATCTCAAGATGCAATGATTGCATCTGAGAACAAGTGCAGAAAGCCATCTAACTTTCAGGTTGGGGATAGGGTCTGGGTAAAGTCGTCAGAACCTGGACAGGAGATGGGCATCTCTAGAAAATTAATGCCACAGTACTTTGCACCTTGGGAAGTTTTAGATATAGTGGGCAATGATCCTGGTGGTCCCTTCTACGTGATCCGCATCCTTGACCACCTACGCACATATCCCATGTTTCATTGCATCTAAGCTTGCACCGCTCTCTGAAACTGACCCGTGGCCTTCACAATGATTTATGCTGCCCCCGACCATGGATGGACATGTGGACATCAATGAGATCTTGGAGCACAAGGACATGCCTGTTCCAAAGCCTCTCGGCAGAGGAAGACTGCCAAAACCACAACGGGAGTACCCCGTCAGATTCAGGCATCATACAGATCCAAAGGAAGATCAGTGGTTCACAAAGGAGCAGCTGTTGAAAACAGCGAGTCAGCTCCTCACATCGTGTCTTTCTATGAGAGGAGAATCAAGGGGAAAGATAAAGTTTTGTAGCAGAATCTCAAAGGACTATCGAAGCAATGAAGGAGGGGGTCCGAGGACTTGTGCCCTTTGCGGAGCTGCCAAAGGGGCCCGCCCTAAGGGAAGATGGGCCCTGTTTTGCTTGCGGCCTAATTTTCCTTGGAGGCCACTTTTGGCCTGTGCGCGGTGTGACCAGGCCCTCGAAGCCAAGGTGTGACAAAGGGCCTACCGGCCAATGAGCACGCAGCAGCCATCCAGCAGCAAGTCATGCAGTTGGGGTGCTGCAACCAATTCAGGCCCGGGATGCTATCTGAGAAGGCCTTGGGTGCAGATACTGGGCCAGTCTGTGAAGCTATGGGGTACCAGGCTTGTGCATCCAGGCAGGCTGAGGCTGCAGCCACTTTCCCCTCCCCTCCAGTCCAGACATTCTGCCTGAAGGCACTGCGTGAGCGAAACCAGGATCACTATACGCAGGTAGGGCGCACACAGGTGCTATGGGCGGGAGGCTGCTGGGCGCAGCCATAGTTCGGGGGCCATAGCGAAGACGCTCGAGGTGAATGCCGGTGGGGTTGATCGTGCTCCTTGGGCGAGGTGGTTTGCCTGTGACCGGGTCAGTCAGGAAATGAGCCCTGCGATAGAGAAGGGAAGTACCTGGTGTGTTGTTGACATACTTGCGGCGCACTACGTGCACGCGAGTTGCGCACGTGCGGCGCATAGCGCACGCACACGCATGCCCGCACACGTAATGCGGCGCACCCCAAAAAATTAAGGTCGATTAAAAAATTCGGAAAGGGCAGGCTGTGGTAGCCAAATGTGGCTGCTACTCCCTTCTGAAAATCGTAAGCGCACAGTAAACAAAAATTGGGGCCACATCGTACTCCTCGTTGGATCCACTCAGGGCCCCCAGCAAAGAATCGGCAAGGGTCCCTTTTTTTAACAGAGACGTTCATCAAATTTCGAGCTTGACACGAACAGGCCAGCAATATATGCTCTGGATTCGAGTTCACGTCTGTGGTCCAGCAGTTATGGGTTACTACTACTTCCTACAATAGCACTCGTGACTCTTCTTTTTGTTTTCCTTTCTTACGTGCACTGGCCCTAAGGGCCTGGTCCACTACCGGTAGTCACCAATCGCCCAAAAGACGAAGCATACGGTGGCGTACGGTCCCATGTTCTAGCAGAAAATTCATTCTAGTGGAGGGTTGCCCTGAAAATCACGTGCTAACACTGCTGCATTAGTAGGTTAGTAATCCATAACTGCTGAAACACGGAGTCCGACCTGAACTCGAATCTACAGTCGCTAACTCAGGACCTCCGTGAGAGCTGTATGCGAGGAAACTTGCACGTACGGTTCGGGAAAGGCTCTCTGATGCCATATACGCTACTTCCCTACCATAAGTCCAACGCGTAGTGGTGCTGATAAGAGCAGACACCGCTAACACCTGGGGGGTAGCTCCATCTATTGGTGGGGAGCAGCACCTGCTGGAAAACGGGTCCAGCGTCCCTTACATGGGCAGAATTCGAGCCATACCCACATGGTTTTTCTGATTTATGTGAAAGGGCTCTTCTCTCTCTCTCTCTCTCTCTCTCTCTCTCTCTCTCTCTCTCTCTCTCTCTCTCTCTCGTGTATACACACATCATGACCACTTCTTTCTTTCTTTTCTTTCTTTTTTTTTTTTTTTTTTTTTCTGCGTATCAGCGATGAGCGCATCGCACTGTGGCACATTGAAACTGTGGACCAAATTTCTTCAGCGCGCTTCTTTTGTGCAATATTTAAGCGCTAAGGTCAATGGGCAGGATTCCTTCATCAAGTGAACTATCGACCATAATGATGATCGAGCGAGGAGATGGTTTAGGTTAACAATCGCTTTTTCAGTCTTCATAACTTCCTTCCTTTTGTAATTGCAAGTGCTAGTATTCTACATATTACTGCTTTACATCAATATGTTAAAAAAAAAAAAGAAAAAAAAAAGCATAGGTGTCGAGAGGTTGTGGTCAGGCGCCATGCACCATATAGAAGGGAGACATCGGATACATTGTTGACGGTGGCGAGATTGGGCTAGCATTGACAATTGAGTTCAGTGCTTTGCTCTTTAGTTGCTGTGTAACTTGGTGCATTCTGCTTTCTGTTCGACACATGACCATCTGGCTTTCAATGCGATGATGATGCAATTTGGATTTCTGTCATTCGCACTTGCTCATTTTCCTTGCATCATGAAACAACTACTGAAAACCCAATCCTTGATCTCAATGGCATGTTTTTCTTTAGGAAAGAACTTCAGAGAGCAGAACTAAAGTGAGCAGCGAAAAAGAAACGATCAAACAAAAGCAAAAAAAAAAAAGTAAAAAAACTCGATTTCAACGGCGCCTTTTTTCTTAACTGCTTTCTCTCTTCATCTGAACGACTGAAACACCATCGGAAAACCAAAAAACTTGAAAAAAGAAAAAAGGAAATACAACTGGAGAAACTTCGCAACCAACAAATCGTTAAAGGAGGGGGGGAAATCTGGAAAAAACTTTGAAAAAGCGTTAGGAGAGGGGAACCCCCCCTCTCCACATCTGCAATTATGGACATGGAAAAATGAGATTGATTGAATGGTAATCATATCAACGCCCCCGTACTGGGGGTGGGGTGGAGGGCGTTCACATTGT